CCTTAAATTATTTATTTAAAGTGAAACCTAAATATAATTTGCTCTAGGGTTAGAAAAATTGTTATTTTGATTGTTCCAGTTATATGCAATGTTGAATTGGTTACTAGGCCAATTATTCTACCCTATATTTTGATTTTGTTCCAAACAAAGTTCGAATGACTTTTCCACTAAATATTATTAATATTGGTGTAGGCATTATTCGATCTATTAAGTTTACTCACTCTACATTTGAAACACAAACTTCACCCACTGGTCCATAGACATTCTCCTCACTAAATGGTGCTCTGTAACTCTGATTTATATCTTTTTTTTTTTACTTTCATTGAAATTGTGACTATCAGTGCAATAAGAACAGCTAAAATGTTTGTATCATAGATGTTGGCTACTTTCCTAGAGTGTACTCTCTAATGACTATTGAAAATTATTAATTATCAATTTTTCAATCAAAGCATAAATCTCCTCAAAAGGTATGGACATGAACGACCCGCTAGGTGTAGCATCAATTATAAACTTCAAAAGATCCTACTAGCCTGTTATAAAAAAATTATATAATTAAACAACTTGGTAGAGCATTATGCGAATATTTTCTCAACAATTCATTAAATCTCTTCTAAGACTCATAAATTTACTCAAGTCAGGGTCTTTGACAGATGAACCCCCAAACCGTGGGTTTTGAACTATTCAGATGATAGCCAATTTAAGTTCAAAATCATTAGTTTGAATGATTGTCTAGTATTACTCGGATATACTACATCTACCAGTGGATTGATAAAATCCATAAATGCTCTAGATTGAGCATTTTCAATGGGTGGGTTTGACATCTACATTTGATTTTTATTATTTTGTTTTTAAGCTTTTTAAAGATTTTTTCTATTTGGGGTTAAAGGAATAAGTTCATAATTATCCATCATACACATACAATACCACTATCACACTAGTTGTACAAACCACACAATCATAATAGTTGATAACAATAATTAAAGTAATGCAAGAGCAGTAAACATGAAGTATTGTAACAAGTATAATTACATAATAAAATAGGGAAACAATGTTGTGACGCTAAACGATTAATGTTGTAGTGCTAATAGAACGATACTACGGCACTACTCAAAATAATTTCACAATACATAAAGAAAATACATAATTTAACTTAACACAAACAGCACTAACAATATGATCACACAAGATAAATAACTAAACAAAGTATACAAAAATTGAATTAAAATTTGATTTTCAAAATTAATATTAACACAACTAAATTTGGCCATTGATCCCTACAAATAACACCAAAATCACGGTCGGCTAATATAGTGTATGTAAGTGCACATGTTGTTTCAAGTAATAAAATAGTGAATGGGATATTGTTCCTATAAGGACCAAGTACTAAATTCAATTAAATGAATTACTAGTTTTTATAAATATAACATTTATCCAATAAGTATGGCCAAAAATAATATTTGTAAAAATAAAATGTAGCATTTACAAATGAAAAAAAAAACTTCAAATTTATGAATACATAAAAAGTTAAGGCAATTGTGTGCAATATTCTCCAACTGATAGTAGTCAATCAATTACCAGTCTATCACTTAGGGTCTGTTTGGGGCAGCTGCAGTTTATCCAACTTATTCTGATAAGCAGCTTATCGTGATAATCTGCTGATGACCAGCTGATCCCGATAAGCTGGATGACTGTTTGGTTTGTGCGTTTGGAAAACAACTGATTTACAGCTATTTCTGGATAAATAACAATTTTGCTTCTGTGCAGTAATATTATTTGCAACAGAAGTGTCAAACAATATATTTGTAAAAAAAGACTTTAAAACAATAAAAAAATAAGATAAAGACCTAAAAATAGTTATAAAATAATAATAAATGATATCAAAAATATTACAAAATAATTTTATATATTTTTACTGATTATTAGACATTGTTTATTATAAAATGATAAGAAGTAATATAAAAAATATGAATAAATTCAATCAAAATCCTATGTCGCGATCTTCTTCTTCGATCCTTCCATGTTCGAGATCGCTTCGCCGCAATAGCGTCCCGCGATCTTCTTCTTCGCTCCAAGCCTCGCCGATCTCTGTGTTCGCTCAACATCATGCCTCCCTGCCGATGTTCATTGCCCTACCGATGTCGCGCCTCCCTGCCGCAGCCCACGATCGCGAACGAAGGAAGAGGAGTGCCGAAGTAGCTGGCGGCTGTGCGAGCTCGATCACGAACGAAGGAGAAGGCAGCGGGTTCGATCGAGGGGGAGTGGAGTAATTTTGAGACTAAACGTGACGAGGAACGCTGCCCGTGGGGTCATCCCCATGGGCGACGTTCTTCATAAAATAAAAATGGAGTTTTTTAAAAAGTAACCGAAACGCAGAAAACAAACAGTAGGGCGGCGTTTTGAAAACGCCGCCCACTGTTTAAAGCTGCCCCAAACAGGCCTTTAATCTCTACCTAGAGTTAAAAAGAAATTGAATCTTCATATTACTAATTAGTGATATTCCTATTCTAATCGATGCAAAAAAGATTTAGTAAATTTTATTACTCAAATATTGCAATTTTTTAAAATTTATATCAATTAATTCTCAAAAAATTGAATTTTAACACTACTGTTTCACAAGTGTTCTTAAAGATCTTACTGATCGAAATTACTAGATCACAAGTGTTCTTAAAGATATATCCAAAGAAAATATTCTTAAATGAAAACTAAGGTTCAATAAAAAAAAAACCATTTAAACCAAATAAAACGCATCAATTACCTAGTTTTACAAATAAACAAAAATTTAGTGCAAGAGAAATGTTGTTCTTGAACATTAATAGAAATAACACAAAAATAAGAAATACACTACAAAATTTATGTTAGAGGAAGAAAGATAAAACTCGATTAAGCTTGGGAAGACCGCATCTGCTCCTACTTTCCATCCTTTGTACAGCTTTACATTATTACTCTCACTCTCATACTTACTACTCAAACACTCAAAAGACACTATACACTACACTCTATTATGTTCTCTAGTGACTAAATTATTTCCAAACAACTCTAATCCGCTCAATAACTCCCCAAGGTCTGCTCTGAAACAAAACAAAAACTACTTTGTTTGGTCAATGCACTACGACGCCACAAACTAGAGTTCTAGCATTATAGTTGCGACACAATCTCTAAGTTTTGAGCATCATTTTTATGTTCTAGCATTGCAATACTGCTTTTCTGACACTGCAGCACTAGAATGACAGTGTTTTGATGCTAAAAAGTGATGATGTGGTGCCAGACTCACGTTTTCCTCCATTTTTTCCCTCCTCTAATATTGCGATGCTGCTAAACCGGCATTGCGGCGCTGAATCTCTAGCACTAAGGTGATCAAAATCCACGTGTAGTGCTAAGATTTAGGTATCTTGCCTTAAAATTAGGGACTGCAATGCTGCGGCGCTACATGCATTTTTTTAATCTTCTCCAAATTATTGTCATGTCCATTTTTTTTCACAAAATATTAAATTAATGTAATTAAAAAAATACATATAAGCAAAGAATTTTAATATAAATCACACCTAATTTCTTTGCACTTAAATCACTCAACACATAATCCCTAATGTTCCTAAGTATCAGCATCCATAACTCTTACAATTAAGATTGATATTAATACTCCTCTTTTGAAGCTTCCCCTCTCTCCAATTGATGATGATTCTGAAGCTCAAAATTTATTGTTTCCTCATAATTCTAACGGGAACATTCTGAATAATGACATGATTTATCATATTCAACAGACATGGACAAAGAAAAAAATCATAAGCACTCTTCTTTTTTTTACCAAGTTTTAAGCTAGGCAGGCTAATTAACTTATCACTTCTTATCTTTATTATGTATTATGTACTTTTCTTTTTTTCTCTAGAGATTCTTATCAATGGCCTTTTCTCCTAGCATTTTCTTGCATAAAATTATGCAAAACAAAAATCCTAAGGTCACAATTGATGATGTTTACGAAAATAGTGAATAAGAAAAGAATAAGGAAAGAAAACAGCACATGCACTCTAATTATGTAACTCATGGTAGACACAACTATCTGAAGGTTGATTTTTTGAGGCAATCACAAATACATGACACTAGAAAATTAAAGCTTATTATATACTATGTGCTTATGAGAGATAAAGAGATGCTTGAACTAAGTAAAATAATATTTCTAAAGAAATAATAGTATAATAAAAGTGGTGTATCAAACTAGTCTGATGGTAGCGTACTAGCACTACTGGTCATTTATATTCTCATATATTGCATAGTTTACTCATTAATATGATGAGAGTAACTATCATATATGAACAGCCAATATTTTGAGTGGGAGATGTTGTAGGTTAAAAAAAAAAAAACAAGCAAGCAGTCAAACAGTGTTTAGGTTTAGCCCACATGGTTTATTTTAAATAAAAATGATTATTTTTTATGATCAGGATGTATAGAACCGATATCATATTCGGACCCTTCAATAGATAAGGGCTTTAATCTAATAGACATCACATTAAAAAAAAAAATAAGGGAGCATTAAATTTCTCTCTATTAGGTTTATAATCTAAAACCCTTAGGGTTTGGATAATGGATTACAGCAAGCGACTAGCATCTGAAAGCTTTGATCCCAGGTAGTTATAATTTTCATTTTCATTTATCGTAGAAAACAAAAATTCAATGCATGATAACATATTTTATGATAAAAACAAAGTATTACACAATAGATGACAATGAAATTGACTTCTAAGAAAATGCAGAATGTTTATTATGTAAGGAAAAAAAACAACTGAAGATATTCTGATGATTTGGTCAAGATGGGTCATATAACCTCTTTTGTTTTTCTGAGAAGAGTGCAATATATTAGTTAATTGTTTATCTGTGAAGTGTAGTTAATTGCTTATCCATAAGCAAATATGATGGTTTTCAAACACATCTTAACCAAATTACCCAAATCTTCTTCCTGTAACAATAGGTTTTGACAAAGAATCAAAAATAAAAAACTTTAAACCTACTTTCCCCTTGATTAGTTCACACTGTGTTCCCTTCCCAGACCCAGGAGCCCCTGATATCATGATTTTCAAAGGATCCGGCTTCATAGCAGCAGAAATCTGAAATTCAATTATAATAAGTATCAATAACCTTTCGAGCAGGCAGATTAAACGATTATACATTGCAGTTGACCCTAACGACACAAGCCAAGGGAAAGGAAAAGAACTAAAATATGAAACTGTATTACTTCGGCATGCCTTAGGAATAAACTCATCAAAAATCCCCCCTTATAAAGTACTCAGCAGTACACTAATTGAAATCGAAACTTAAGGTTTCTAGAAGAGAGATTACCAATAATTTAGCAGAATTCAAGCCACAGCTACGAAATACAAATGATGAGCGGAGAGTGGCACGGTTAGAAGAAGCACACGCGAACCGTAGCATAGAGGAACGAGATGATAAGCCATCAGGGGCCTCACCAACAGTGGAAGACAGATTCGGCATGCAAGACTGGCAAAAAGTCGAAGGATGACGCGAAGGATTTATTGCAACTACCGAAGAGCAGAAAACGCAGAAAGACGCCATCTCACTCCTCTCTTCCTTCACCCAGTATGTTCAACGCTCAGACAGCGCAGAAAGACAGTTTCTTGCAGCGATTTGATGTTCAATGGTATGTTCAATGCTTTGGAGAAGGGTGTCCGCACTTAGCTCGATGTGCGGACTTTCGGTAAAATGCGTCAAAAGCGCTGCGTAGGGAGCAAAAATCGGTGCACCTTATAGATTTTAACGACCCGTGTCCCGTCCAGCGCGGTAGTAATGGAGGTTATACATGAGCAAAAATCGGTGCACCATATAGATTTTAACTTTGTAGCCTCCCTGTTGGATGTTGCGGTACAGCCTTAATAGCTGACCTGTAAGTTTGAGAAACCTTGAACCCCCTTATACCACGGTTGTGTAACTGCGTGGTAACCTCTGCACCCCCTATACCGCGCGTGTAACATTGTGGTAACCTCTAAGGCCTTGTACAACGGCTTTGTAACTGCGCGGTAACCTCCGGACCAAATGTACCTTCCGTGTAACGTTGCGGTAACCATGATAGCCTATGTAACCTTCACAACGAACGAGTACTGCTCAAATACTCGTGATAAAAATTTAGACAGTAAGAATTATTTATCAAAATAAAGTTGACGTTTTCGTTCGCGCCTAGGGTTGCCTTTTTCTCGAACGTTTAGGGTTTCGCATTTAGATTCTGAAGCAAGATTAAAATGGAGGACATTGGTAAGACTACGGCCTCCATTGGTAAGACTACGGCCGCGTTGGAAGAGGCGAATGTTCCGCAGTTTGATGAGGCGGAGAAGCCAAAAGTGGAAGAGGTCAAGAAGCTGGAGGTCGAGCAGCCAAAGAAATTGTCGAAGGGTGGGCATAAGAAGAAGTATTTATAAGACTTCAAGACGAAGGGCTTTGAATCTATTAAGAAGCCCCAAGCCGTTTCTAGGTATTTTGAGACTTTCCTTTATTTTCTATAAAGGTTTTGTTATGGTTTGTTATTATGATAGTAAATATCACTGTTAGTTATAAGACTTTTTTTAAAGTTTTGTTCTTTTAAGAGAAAATTTTGAATGTTGATAGAGGTTTTAAATGGTTTGTTATTGTGATAGTAAATATCACTGTTAGTTATAAGACGTTTTTTAAAGTTTTGTTCGTTTAAGAGAAAATTTTGAATGTTGATAGAGGTTTTAATCTTAAGATTTAAAAGATGATCTTAATCTTGAGTTTTTGAAAAGTGGTTTTAAAATTATAGTTTAGGGTAGAATGAATAGTTTGATTAAATGAGTTTGATTTTGTAAGAGATTTTTACTTTGATTATTATTTACATAAGTTAACATACATTAAAATTAATTGTAGGTTTTTTAGTATAAAATCAATGAACTGCAGATGTAGTCCATCAGCTGTATGAGAAGCTCTTGATAAAGTCCGACCAACCATCGACGAGCACACATGGAATAAGTTGGAAGTCATGAACTTGGTTCAGTTTATTGAACTCTCGTCGTACCCTCAGGATCATATTCTGACAATGCACATAATTAACTGTTGGTATATTGATCGAATGACATTTCAGCTGGATGGGAAAGAACTCAGATTTGATGCTGACCAAGTTGCCCTCCTGATAAGCATGCCCAATAGAGGGTCACCCGCATGTCGGAATAAAGCTCCGTCATGTAGCATAGATGTGGGACAAGTGAAAACTGAACTTATCAATTTTGAGCCAAGGCTGTTGTTTGATCGCTTTATAGAATTATTAATAAAATTTTTATGGACTAATTTAATTTTTCCTTCAAGCAATTTTAGAGTATCCAAGCAGCTATCTTCTATTTGCGAGAATGTTGAAGCTTTTAGCTCTTATAATTGACCTGTTACAGTATGTGGCTCTTTGATTGAGCAATTGAACCTATGTGCCATGAAATTTAGGACGGATTAGTCACTTGGATACATTACTGGTTTTGTTTTCCTCTTAACAGTTTGTTCTTTGCACATTACTACTAAAATCTATTTTCATACTTTTATTTATATCAAATATTTATTTTAACATGTTTCAAATAGCTTTAGTTTTATGAACACACGTCATTGGTTGTCCCAGCAGTTCCCGAGGCTAGACCCCAAATGCTAAAGTGGACGGTAAATGTAAGATGGAATGTTTTACATATTCAGCTAGCCTTCAATATGCTTAGCCCTGTCGAGGTGAATTCAATATTTTTTTACAAAAATTGGCATTATAGTCATGTTACACATTGATTGACCTTCAGTTTCTGTAATTTTTTGCAGGACTATGGTTTTTTTCTTGATGTAAAAGAAGGTGAACATCACTTACTTGTTGTTTCCCTTGAAGAGCCCTCCAGTCCTGCAAAACTTCTCCCACAGCGGGAGACCCATTCTACACCACAGTCACCCATGTTGGTTGGGGTATCTCCTATAGTTCCTTATCATATCGATCCTCAACCAACCAATAGTCATAAATTTGAACAGACGAGTCAAAGACTTGGATTTAAGGAGATTCATGAATTATTGAAAGATTAATAAAAATTTATATTGGATTTTCAAGTCTCTGTTGACAATCGTCTGACGAAGTTAGAGAATACAGTTTTGGAGTTTCAAGGCTCTTTTGAAAGTTGATTGACAAACTTAGAGAATGCGGTGATAAACTTAAAGTATCATGTCATGAATGTAGAAAAATAATAAAACAAATAGATGGGGAATTGACGAGAAGATGGGTCAAAGAGTCTCCACAAAGAAGCTTCATCCAAAGGATTAAGGAGGGAGTAAATAGAAGAAAGAAGGATGTCAGTTCCCCATATGTTATTTTCGAAAGGAAGAGAAAAAAATAGAACCAATAAAGGAACTGGTTGAAATTGTACAGGAGGAGTAAGCGGGTGTAGATCAGCAATCTAAATCTCCCCAATAAGAGGTTGCAATTGAACAAAAAGAGGAAGAGGAACATCGACCGGTCTCACATTATATTAGTGAGGACTACCCATACAAGGTATGGATTTTTTTCTTCAAGTATTTAAATATGGGAATTAAATATTCTGATTTGCTTATCTTGCAAGTCCAGCTGGCATCACAGGTGATTGATTTCCCTGCTAGATATGAACTTCCATATTATATGCGTGAAACAATTGATATATGCTGTAGAAAATTCACAGACCTGTTAGTTCACCTAATTTCTTAGGTGTTCTGCATTAATTTTGTAACTGCAAACTGAAGTAATTTATATTTGAAATGCAAGGGTGACCTGTTAAATGATATGGGATATGTTTCAGTGTCGGGACATTATCTCGATGAATTCTTGGGAAACGGTTGGTTAGGCAATGAACATGTTGATTGTTTTGTCATGTTGATGGAAAATAAGCGGTGTAACGTACCACATTTGTATAGATCGTACCTATATGTGTCTCCATGTCACTGAGTAAATTTTAAAAATTTAACGTTTTGTTGTTTGTATTTACAAAAATCTAACATGACAATATTTTGAATTTCATTTTGTTTTTCTTGATGTAGTTGTATAAACAAGATAACGTTAAACCCTTTATCGCACATATTACAAAGAATTCTATCCAGAAGGCATCGTTATTAATAATATCTGTAATAAATAATCAACATTGAATACTTGCACTAACAGATGGGAAATGGAGAGTTTATGACTCTTTACCCAACATAATGCATTTGAGCATCACCCAAAACATTGTAAGGCCTCACATTCTAAATATACAGATTGCAATATTTATTTATTGACTCAACTCTAAATATGCAAATTGACCATTTTTTAAGTGATGTCGTGGAAGCTTTCCAGGTTAATGTGAAGAAGTGGCCAGTTGTAATGACCAGAGGAATTCCAATGCAAAGTAACAACTATGATTGCAGTGTTTTTTTCTGTAAATATATGGAGGCACTTGTACAAAAAGAGAAAGTCAATTGGGTGGACAAAAAGGAGTGGCTGGACCTGATGTCATTATTTAGAGCAGAAATTTTATATGACATTTGTAAATTTGCTTTGTCAAAATCACAGTAGGCTTGAAAGGACAACATTTATTGCATCTTATACAATTTTTTTTACTGAGATGTACATTTGGTATATGGCTTTTATTTGTGCCTCTTTGTGAGATATATAAATATCCCCTATAGTTTCTAAGAATTTTATATACTCGTGGCAGGTTGCTTGATGACTGCATCGTCTCATTTCTTCTTATCGTTAGAGTTGCTTATAATTTAATATTGTTCGTGCAATTCAACTTTGCAATTAAGTTGTATGTTTAATTTATTCTCCTTTGTGTAACAGATTGTTACTCATAAGTGATGATCCAAAAGTGTCAGAGCTGGTTTCTTATTAATTGTATAATGATTGTATGGAGTTTAATATGCATGGAATTTGATGATCCAAATGTGCAATAGCTAGAGGACTTTGGATAGGGAACCAAGAAATGTTGTATATGGGGTTGTACATGAAAGTGGACTTATTGATTGTGGATATTGTTTGTGATATTGTTTGTGTGTGTGGGGTTGTACATTCTCTAACTTTTTTATGTATTAACTGGTTTTAAAGATGTTGTACATGAAATATGACAATGAATGCATTGAGAAATGGTTTTACAATTTTTTGAATTGGTGTGGAAATGGTTTTAGAATTTTGATTCTCTGGTTCTTTTAAATTGCTATAATTTTGCAATAATAAATCTTGAGAAACTGATTTATGATTTATGATTCAGAAATTATTAAATCTTGAGCACACATATTAACTTATCAACAGTTTTATGATTTTTCTTGCATCTGAAAATCTGATTCCCTGTATGAAGTTGCAGAAATTCAGAAAAACTGATTCCCTGTCTGAATTTGCAAAATTTTTGTAACTTTTTGGAGCCTTGATTTGTGAGGAGGATCCTTCTTCTTCTCGTAAACCAAGCCCCATCAAGTGTGTCTGGCTATAATAACTTCCAGACAGAGAACTTACATCACTTAAACGAAGTAAGCTTAACCCAAAAAAGCACTCATATCAGGCTCAAGTAAAAGTTAAGGGCAACAAATTAACAAATTAACTTATCCTTAGTAAGCTTAACACAAAAAAATAAAGTAATCTGTAACTCTCTGGGGCCCTGTAATAATATTCTTATTCAGCTGTAACTTTTTGGAGCCTTGTAACATTAGAATTTCTGTAACTTTCTGAGCCCTGATTTATGAGGAGGATCCGGCTAAATAAGAATTTGAA